AGGAAAGAAAAAAAAGTGAGAAAAATACAAGGTGAGATGTACGGGTAGAAACTAAGAACTAGAGGATGCAGAAAATCTGCAGGCAAGATATGAAACTAGGAAGGTGAGCAGCAGAAGAACAGACTGAGAAACAGGAAGAGCTCTGTTAAAAAGAAAGAAGCTTGGATTATTTTGTTGTGTCTTGTTTTAGAAGTTGGATCATATTAAGAAAGTGTATGGAATGAAAGTAAACAGACTATTCAGTGTAGTATTTCAGAGATGCACGTAACAGCATTGTGCCAGCGCACTGGCCACAATACACCGAGAAAGCAGCATCTTGCCTTATAGTGCAAAGCAGATATAAAAATCCAACACGAAGTCATCATACTCTGATTACTCTGCAGCTGTCTGAAACTTGATTTAGCGATTCTCCAGCTCTTTAAGACTGAGTAACACAAAGTTAACTATCAAAGGAATATTTTTTAAATAGAAATATTAATTTATATCTCAAAATGATGCACTAATGGAGGTTGTAAGTGCCTCTACTAATATGAAATGAAATTATTTCAGGTTTGATAATTCCTCCGAAAACTAGTTTCAATAGGGGTATGCATAGTAAATTGTGAGGTGCCAAACCTTCATTACCTGTTTAAGAAAAAAGCCACTGGACTTTTTCCATATCTTTCCTCAATGGACAGTATGGGTATGTATACAAGAAAAAGTCAGAATTGTTCTGAGCTGATTTTAAGGGTATCAGGAATGACACAATATTTTTTTGTTAAGTTAAAACTATAACAGCAGAAGTTGAGCCATAGGCCAAAATTATTACATCCCTAAACAAGAACCGACCATGTGCACTTGCAGCCCAGAAAGCTAACCGTATGCTGGGCTGCATCCAAAGATGCATGACCAGCAGGTCGAGGGAGGTGATTCTTTCCCTCTGCTCTGCTCTTGTGAAATCCTACCCTGCAATGCTGCCCTCAGCTCTGGGGCCACAACACAACAGGGATATGGACCTGCCTGAGCAAATCCAGAGGAGGTCCATGAAGATGATCAGAGAGGGTTGAAGACAGGCTGAGAGAGATGGGCTTGTCCGGCCTGGAGAGGAGAAGGCTCTGGGGACACCTCAGGGCAGCCTTCCATTACCTAAAGGGGGCCTATAATAAATCTGAAGATGGACTTCTTATAAGGGCGTGTAGTGACAGGACAAGGGGTAACGGCTTTACACTGAAAGAGGACAGATGTAGCTTAGACATTAGGAAGAAATTCTCCACTATGAGGATGGTGAGGAACTGGCACATGGTGCCCAGAGAAGCTGTGGCTGCCCAACCCTGGAAGTGTTCAAGTCCAAGTTGGATGGGGCTTTGAGCAATCTGGTCTAGCGGGAGGTGTCTCTGCCCATGGCATGGGGGTTGGAACCATATGATCTTTAAGGTCTCTTCCAACTGTCATTCTATAGTTATATTTCTATGATTCTATGAACTTGTCTCAACATCATTGCTATTGAGACCACCACCATTAACTCTGCTCTAGGAAGTCTACTTCATAGAGACTTCTACCCCATGAAATTTACTTCACTGGTATTTCGCTACCCTGTTACCTCATCACTGATATACTTTTGTTGTTTTTAAGGCACTCCAGGCTTGCAGCGAGGAGGGGTATGCAATCATTCCAAGTCTGTAATTATATACATATTGCTAGCACAATGCAACAAAAATGTAATGAAAGTCTGTGATTCTTCAGTAGATATTCAAGAACTTATACTGACCAGACTACTTTCTAAATCTAAAGATGATGGCCTACATATTTGATGATAATTTTCTAAGAACTGCTAATTGCATAAATATGAATATTATCAGTTTCTTGCCTTTTTCTTTCTTGATCATTTATAGTATAGTCAGGGACTTCTAGAGGTAGCAGCATTTTTAAGCCACTAAATTTCCCATCAAACAAAAATTACACTGCTGAAATATACGTTTTGTTTTTTTTTTTTTTTTAAATCACTAGCATTATGCAAACCCATGTCACAATGAACAGACTTTTAATCTTGGACGTCTCCTGAAAGAACTGGAAAGACTTTTTAAACAGCAGAATACTTAATTATTTTTTCCCTCCTTACAGGTTTAAGATCACAGGCCTACCTCTTTTAACTTGATTTATTTCTCTTTTAATTGATAAATTCTGCCTTCAAATCCATTTAGATACATATAATAAGCTTCACTATATTATAACATTCTTTCATTATAATATAGAATTCGAAGTGTCCCTCTCAGACACATCCAAAAACAGCAAAACATGAGCAATGGGATTTCAAAAACATGGGAACAAAATTTGGCAAAGTAATATTTTCTTTCAGGTGGAAATTAAAATTACTGCTCAGATTACCAACCTCAGTTTTCCTTTTAAAGGGTCACCTAATGTAATAAAATTTGTAAGAGTGGAGAGTTCAATAATATAAAAAACTATTTATTGCAAAGTCAACAATTATGATGTGGAACTCCATGCTATATGTGGGTACAGAAGACAAGAACATAGCTGGGATTCAAAACCAACTTGCACAGTAACATAGGTAAAGGAGATTTTTATAAAAACAATATTCAAAATATTGATTTTTCTGGTAGCATGAAAATAAATGCAGCTGTCAACAAACTAAAATGCTAGGCAGACTGTGTATTTTCATTGTAGAAATATTGACTTAAAACTTAAAAGAGAAGAAGTTATTACCAAATGCTAAGACCAATGTATTAAACTTATGAAAGTACAGAGAGAGAATTTCAGAAACGCAGTCATGTAAAATCCCAGGGTTAAAAAAAAACTTAAAAGGATAATTAAATACTAATTTATTACTGTTTTCAAAGCAATTATCATAGCATAAAAAAGCATTTAGTATTTGGTTTATGTTGCTTTTTTCACCATAAACTGAAGACTGAGAAAATACTTAAAATTATGCAAACCACCAAATTGGTCAAAATCCCATTTGTGGTTTCACATCTGACATCTTTATTTCAAAAGGCTATAACATTTTTCTTTGTTTAGGGTCACTGACTACTATAGAGTTAGAATTTTTTGCCTAATTATTGTATTTTTTACTTCAAAAAAGGAATCGAACATTACTGTTTAACTGTATGTCATCTCTGCTCCTTAAAATACTCAGTCCTTTCCTACAGGACCGTGTAGATTTTTTTTTCCATATTTTTACTACCTATTTATTTAAGGTAGCATAATGTACTGTGCAATTTGATGAGCTTAATTATTTTAATTTTATACTTTTCTGTTTTGCCTCTTAAATTCTCTTCTTATGTTAATTTTCTTTCAGGGAACCAAATTTCATGAGTCATTTACATGAAGGGGAACTTGGAAGGACTTTTTAAGCCCAGATGTCTGACTTACAAATTAACAAATAAATTTATCTGTAATTACATCTTTTCTTTCCCTTCTTCCCTTCCCTACCCCCCCCCCCCACTACACAACTCTTTTTCCAAACAAAATTCTGTGAAAATATTGAGTCTTCTGTCAAATGGACTTATTTCTGAGTTAAACATTTTGTTCCAAATAACTTTACATAATAATTCAGAATGGCTGCCCAATTGCTGTTCCTGGCTTTTCCTGACCATGTACTTTATTGAATATTTTTTGAATATTGATATTTTTATTGAATTACATCATATATAATGCTAATTAAAATATAATATCTTCAGTGTTGAGACAGGTAGTTCTACTCGGTAGCGTCAGATATCTATACAGCTATATTCTTCTACAAGGCAAAATGAAAAAATGCAAGTGATGTTACATAAAATCTTGTCAGACCTGCTCTATGAGCCTCAGAGCTGGAACAAACATAAGCTGATAAGCAAATTTTTCAAGGCAATCATTTCTTATCTGTGTTATCAAAGCTCATGGTATGCAGCTGAAATAAATAAGGAAGGATTCAGCCACTGGGATTGCTTTTTTCTTCACCTAGCAGCTAGTATTTAAATGCATTCCCCTATAAATACTGTCTTAGTATCCAGTTTCTTCAGGTTTGGAGTAGCCAAAGATAAGCTGTTCATAACTGTAAATTAAAACACCTTACAGTTTAACTTGTAGGACTGAAGTAATTATGACCTTGAATACAGTTTCCTACATCTTATGCCTCATATGCAAGCCCTTTCAGAGTTCTAAAGGCAAATTTTATTTTCATCACCTAAATTTATAATTGATTATATTCTGGCAATCATTAATACCTGACTGTCAACAAAATCTGTCTTTGTCCCAGGAAGTAGAACAATGGTAAGGCAGAGCTGCTAAGAAAACAAATCCTCTGAGTGAAAACCAAATGCTTCCCATTTCTTTAGCACTTGATACAAGAGACACAGTCCCCTGGGCTGATCACCTTGGCCAGTTTTCTTAAGTTAAGTTTCTAAAACATTCAAGATTTTGGAAAGCTTTTGGAGAAAAAAAAAAAAAGGAGATATAATAAAGATTATTATATCCGTCTTCCATTCCTTTGACAGTGAAATACTGAGGTTCCAACAATGCATGTGGACATTTGTTTAAACACTCTTTAACACTCAGATTGCAGATAAAAAAAAAAAAAAAAATTAACAGAGGATTCTCAAAATTCTCCTTGAGAACATAAAAACTGAAATGATTCCCTCCCCCTTCCCCATTAGGATTTGGCAAATGAAACTGAATAAGCAGATATATTGATAAGGTTATTGACTGACCAAAACCTTAATTCATGCATGGTTCCTGCTATATTTGCTTTGTAGAGTTAGTATAAGTAAACAGCAATAATAATTTACTTTAGGTAACACATTGGCATATATAGAGAGACCTGATGCATTCAGGGCTATATGTGATCCTGTGTTAATTTTAGTGCATTTTCATAATTTAGTACTGAGAATACACATCAGAAAAGGACTGTCATTATAGGAATTTACTGGAAGTAACACTTCTTTATAGTACTATGCAAAGATATTGGAGGTAAAATTATACCAGATTTCAGGATTTAATTAGTTTAAATTCAAAGGTCTCCTTACCTTCTATTGCTGAGAGTAGAACACGAGAGTGGTCATACGCAATTACATTCGCATATCTATTCTTTGGTTTGTTTACTTCCAGGTTAGAGTGTTCCCATGTGAACTGCTGACCAGGATCAATGGACTTCAAAAGAGAAAGAGAAGAAAAGCTAGGACTACATGTATTTATAATCATTACAAACCATATGCTCCCATAGTTTATAGAGTCACAGAATCAGGATCAGAAGGGAACTCTGTAGATCATCCAGTCCAACCCCACTGTCAAGGCAGGGCAACTTACAGCACATTACCCAGGAACGCATCCAGGTGGGTTTTGAATGTCTCCAGACAGGGAGACTCCACAAAGCCCACCGGGCAGAATGTTCCAGTGCTCAGCCACCCTTAATGTAATGCAGTTCTTCCTTACTTACAGTTTAGTCTGGAAATATTTTTTTTCTTTTGAAAGAAAACTATGACTTCAGGACATGGTAACATATTAGAATGCAGTATATAAAGCATTTTGTATTTATGCACCCAAAATTTCCACAAGGAATTTAAACCATAAGCTTTTCAAATCCAAGGCTTTCCCTTCAGAAAGGCAAGGGTATTCTATCCATCTTTTTATCTTTTCACTTAGTCTGGGTTCTCGCATAACAGAGGATGAACAAAAAATGTCAGAAATCTCCAAAACACTGGGATGAAGAGGAATAAATGTTTTTGTCTTTCTCTATTACTAAGCACACAAGTTCAAATAATTCAGTGGCCTGTTTACTAAATAAACTCTAAATATTTCTGAAGAAGTTTTCCTGAAGAAAAATAACGTTATATCTGTTCTTTCATTTTGATGTCAGGCCGACATATGACACCAGTGTTGCTCAGGGAATGAAGTGCATATCACCAAGAGACAACATAAAGAGACTTGATTTCTATATCCTTGAGTCATAAATAGGAAAGAAATTCAGGCATATTCGAAATTTTAATGATCTCTTATTTATACACACAACTATACAGTCCTAGAAGCACTTTTTATTCCCTGCTTCCTTCATGTTCCAGGATGGAATTACTTAAGCTTGTCCCACCCTCTGTCATCCTTCATCAATAGGAAGATTACAGGCTCTATTGCTTACTTTTATACCTCTATGCTTGAAGTATACATACAGCTGTGTGAATATAAAAAATGCAACAGATGATATCTGCTTATACTGGCTATAGTAGCACCTGTAGGAAAGGTCATCTCACACTGAAAAGTCACAGTTAATCATGTAATGTTTTACTTTTCCTTGCGGCAACATTACAGTTCTCAAAATTATTCCATCAATACTTATGTACAAGCGTTGTTTGCAGCTCCCTGTGCTAGGTTGCTGTAAATTATTAAAAAAACCCCTAATGACACGGATGAATATAGATGGGCCACTTCACCACGACTATGTTCACTTTCCATGAATAGACCAGGAAAAAAGCACAAGTGCGAAGATCCATACTGTCACTAACTCATCAAGCCATCATTTTTACATCGGTTATTCTGACTCCTCCCAGCCTTAAAACAGCTACGAGTCCATTTTATGTTAATGGAAATGAAATATGACCTGTAATCTATTAGTGTAGATATTATCAGACAATGAACATGTGCAAAATTAGTGTGATCTGTTGGGATTTATCCCACAGCTTAATAATCACTATTTGGCCAGTCAGAAAACTGTTTTGTTCACATGCACAGAATCACAGAATAGCTAGTGTTGGACAGAACCTTAAGATCATCTAGTTCCAACCCCCCTGCCATGGGCAAGGGCACCTCACACTAAACCATGCCACTGAAGGCTCTGTCCAACCTGGACTTGAACACTGCCAGGGATGGAGCATTCACAACTTCCCTGGGCAATCCATTCCCGTGCCTCACCAACCTTACAGTAAAGAACTTCCTCCTTATATCCAATCTAAACTTCCCCTATTTAAGTTTTAACTCATTACCCCTTGTCCTATCACTACAGTCCCTAATGAAGAGTCCCCCCCCAGCATCCCTATAGGCCCCCTTCAGATACTGGAAGGCTGCTAGCAGGTCTCCATGCAGCCTTCTCTTCTCCAGAATGAACAGCCCCAACTTTCTCAGCCTATCTTTATACAAGAGGTGTTCCAGCCCCCTGATCATCCTCGTGGTCCTCCTCTGGACTTGTTGCAACAGTTCCATGTCCTTTTTATGTTGAGGACACCAGAACTGCACACAATACTCCAAGTGAGGTCTCAAGAGAGCAGAGTAGAGGGGCAGGATCACCTCCTTCAACCTGCTGGTCACGCTTCTTTTGATGTAGCCCAGGATATCCATCTTTATATATCTTACACAGTTTACTTAGTAAGCTTCAGAGCATAACTCTTCTAAAATAACAAAAAAAAAAAAGAAAAAAAAGAAAAGAAGAAAAATCATTTTATCTGTCTGCCTGAGAGAGAGGTCTTCGAATACCCCACCATTTGTTTAGGCAACCGTCACAGTACCTTATTCTATCCACTAATATCATAGACTAAATCAACTTCTATAACAGTTAACAGCTAATTTTCCTGACTTTTATTTTCACTGTAGTCCTCTGGAGCTAGGTCTGGCTAAGTTCCCCTGAATAAAATAGGTCAGATCTGCTGAGCAGAGGAGTGCGATGGTTCAGGTTCTGGCTCACTCTTTGGATGCTACTTTACCTACAGTACTTGAGACAGTGTGGCAGCTCCTCCCTCAAGAGGAAATGAAACGGAACTTTTTAGAGGAGTGAGGAAGAAATAAACTGCTTGGGAGGCCACAAAAATTTTACTTGTGGTTTGGATATGATTCAATTGAGTTGTATCGCTATGTGTGTTACTAACAGTTCAGAAGGTGTTCTTGAATGGTTAGAAGGTCTGAATGAATCTGATTTTTTTTTTTCATTTCTACACAATTTTTATGCCAAAAATAGATTTAAAAGAACCTAGCCCAATATTTGGGTTTACAGACCTAGAAATTTGTGAGACAATGCTTAACATATATTAATATGTTAATAGTATTAATACCTTACTATTATTAAGCTAGTATCTTAACAGACTAGTTATTAAGAGTTTTAAAAAACTGTTGATGGATTTTTTTCAGCCTTGTTGTGTTTTGTCTACATACATAGGAACAACAAGCTATCACCCACTTGGTATTCTGCCACTTGCAAAGCAGACATCACTTCTGTGCTGTATTTAAGTATAAACGTAGCAACCTGATCCTTCCAATATTAGGACTTGGTCCTTCTCCAACCAAAACATTACTTTTCCTGACTCAACAGTGACATTCCTCTTTATCAATAAAGCAAGTCTCTGTAAAATCTTCATTCCATTTTCTTACAATTTAGCTGCATCATGCTAATGTTTTCCCATCCTCTGAGATATATGGCAGGTGAGCACTGCTTCATTAAAACACAAAAATAGACACTGTTATCTTTACTGCTAAGTGCTATTTATTTCATCTAAGGTGAGCAGAAATAATGTGACCATATTTCCATCAGCCCTGAGGAGAGTCATATATGGTATATGTAAGATCTGTAAACATACCTCCTTATAAGCTGACCAGTAATTCATCCACATCATGTGACTTGAAAAGCAATCAAACTTTCATGATGACTTTCTCAGTAAGAATCTCCCCTTTTTTCCTTTTTGAGTGAATGTAGGTGAATAAGGTAACTTAGGTCACCGATGACATAGTCAGAATTTTTTTCTGAGAGGCATATATGCAATGCTAGGTAATGAATAGCCTACTGCTCCAGAATGAAGCAACACTGCTCTGCACTGTTCTAGATATATCACTGAATAATACATTCTGCTTGATCTTTTAGGTGTTAATCTAAAGTGCTCAAATATTTTGGAAATTACTTCACAATATACATGTTACATACGCTTTCTTTTCACATTTGACAAGCAAACAAAAAAATAAAAGAAGAAATTGTCTGGCTAACATGTTGCTAGTTTTTAGTCTGGACTGCAAGACTTGGGCTTTACCCTATCAAAACCAAACCAAACCAAACCAACCAACCAATCAACCAAAAAAAAACCCCAAACAACAAAACCCTACATAAATTAGCTATTTGTAATTACGACTACTTGCAAACATAAAGTTCAATGTGTATTTTTGCATATGCATTTGAATTTATAAAATTACGGTCTAAGTATTCTTTCTCAAAATGGGTAAGATTCTTATCTATTGTGAGAAAGAGCTTCAGCTCTGTATTGTACCTATTTTCAATGTGAACTTATAATTATTAAGATACATCTAAATCTTAGCTTCAGCTGTTCTGTATTGTTCTTCTTTTCAGTCCTTACTATTGAGGTGATGTAAAGCTGCTTTTGAATACCAAGAAAAAAAAAATAAATCAAACAGCAGCTTTCTCTGTCAGTTATCTGTAGAAGTAGATGAGGATACGTTCATAACAGTAGAACACTGCATTCCCCATTCACTTCTTTGTATGACGTATGGCCAGATGGTGTAATTCAGTGATTAATATTTAGGCCTGCCTGAAGACATAATTAACATAAATTATGTCAAAACCAGGCAAATGGACTGAACTTTAATCTTTCCTGGTTTTCTCATCAATCTGAAGCACTCTGTGGCCTTATTATCTTCCCACAAAGCGCTGTTTTGTCAAAAGAAAGTTAATCTATATTTCCTCAGACTTAATAGCCACACTAGAACAAAGAGTAGAGTGGTATTGGCAGACACATCTCAGAAGTGCGAAAGACCAATAACTCATGAATAACAAGTCTGTACTAACAGTTTTAAAGAGTGCTTTAATGGTTTAATGGATGGCACTTTAATAGGATTTCTAGTATATTCATTCTGAAAGCTTGCCTTCAATAAAGCTGTTATTAACAGAAGAACTGGATTTGTTCATAGCATAACTGTGCAGTATGGGTGCTTTGTGCAAAAGAAATAAAGATATCTATAATACTGTTATTACCCACCCATGCTTTGACTAATCTTTCAGCTATTGTGTCCTACATTGTTGGCTGCTGAAAAAGTCTGATCTGTTACTGGGAAGAGATTTGAGCAATATTTACTAGTACAGTGCCCCATCCATAAGGTAATACTTTGACTATGAATCATGGTAACTCAAATGTGTTTTCAGAAGAATTTCAAACAATCCCCCTTCAGTG